ACCATCACCATCACCATCACCATCATCATCACCATCACCATCACCATCACCATCACCATCACCATCACCATCACCATCACCATCACCATCACCATCACCATCACCATCACCATCACCATCACCATCACCATCACCATCACCATCATTATCATTATCATTATCATTATCATTATCATTATCATTATCATTATCATTATCATTATCATTATCATTATCATTATCATTATCATTATCATTATCATTATCATTATCATTATCATTATCATTATCATTATCATTATCATTATCATTATCATTATCATTATCATTATCATTATCATTATCATTATCATTATCATTATCATTATCATTATCATTATCATTATCATTATCATTATCATTATCATTATCATTATCATTATCATTATCATTATCATTATCATTATCATTATCATTATCATTATCATTATCATTATCATTATCATTATCATTATCATTATCATTATCATTATCATTATCATTATCATTATCATTATCATTATCATTATCATTATCATTATCATTATCATCATCATTATCATCACCATCACCATCACCATCACCATCACCATCACCATCACCATCACCATCACCATCACCATCACCATCACCATCACCATCACCATCACCATCACCATCACCATCACCATCACCAATCACCATCATCATTATCATCACCATCACCATCACCATCACCATCACCATCACCATCACCATCACCATCACCATCACCATCACCATCACCATCACCATCATTATCATTATCATTATCATTATCATTATCATTATCATTATCATCATCATTATCATTATTTTTTCAGTTTGACAAATATAAAGACGACTTCAAACTGCGTGTGATTGGCGTGGCTTTGACGAGCTCGACCCACAAGATCGCCGACGGCACAGGGTACAATGACCTGATTAAGGTAAGGAGAGATGAGGGAAGCTAAGGGAAGAGGGGGGGGGTAAGGGAAGAGAGGGGAAAGAAAGGTAAAGAGAGGGAAGCTAGGGGAAAGGGGAGGGAAAGGTAAGGGGAGGCTAAGGAAAGATGAGGATATATATAATATATATATATATATGTATATATATATATATATATATATATATATATATATATATATATATATATATATATATGTATGTAGAGTAAATACACACGCGCGTGCACATAATACACATTCATCTATCTATCTCTCTATATACATATATATGTGTGTATGTTTTCGTTTCTTTCTTTCTTCTTCCTCTTCTGTCTTTCTTTCTTTTTACTTTTTCTTTATTCCTTTCATTTCTTCTCCGTCAACTTCTTCCTTCCTTCCTCCGCTTCCCCCCCCCTCTCTCTCTCTCTCTCTCTCTCTCTCTCTCTCTCTCTCTCTCTCTCTCTCTCTCTCTCTCTCTCTCTCTCTCTCTCTCTGAATGAAGAGGCAGAATAGGAGAAGGGAAATAAAGAAAAGGCACAAAAGGGAGGCGGATAGGAGACAGCTAAACGCGGAAACGAACACAGGAGCTGAGAGGCAGGACAGGTAGGCGACAGTGACCTCGCTCGGAGCCAAGGCCGCCCAGCCACGGAGCCAAGGTCAAAGGCCGGCCGGGGAGGGTAGGCCTTGAGGGGGAGGGAGAGAGAAAGGGACATGGAGCGGGAGAGGAAAAGTGGAAAGGGAGAGGAAAAAGGAAAGGGAAATGGAGAGGGAGAGGGAGAGAAAAGGGAAAGGGAAATGAGAGGGAGAGGGAGAGAAAAGGGAAATGGAGAGGGAGAGGGAGATAAAAGGGAAAGGGAAATGGAGAGGGAGAGGAAAAGGGAAAGTGAGATGGAGAGGGAGAGGAAAAAGGAAATGGAGAGGAAAAGGGAAAGGGAAAGGGAAAGGGAGATGGAGAGGGAGAGGAAAAGAGAAAGGGAAATGGAGAGGGAGAGGAAAAGGGAAATGGAGAGGGAGAGGAAAAGGGAAAGGGAAATGGAGAAGAAAAGAGAAATGGAGCGGGAAAGGGTAATGGAGGGGGAGAGGGATATGGAGAGGGAGACTGAGAGGGAATGGAGAGGGGAGAAGGAAACAGAGAGGGAGAGGGACTGTCCAATCCTAATCTTACCAAGAGTTTTCCCAATCAAGCTCTATATAGATCACCCACATTATCATAGAGTGCCACAAACCTCTTCCATGAGACACTAAAGCATCGTAAGTATTTGTGTCGGTGGCATGTGTTAACTCCATACATACTATAGAGCTAGACATGTACGCTGGTAGATGGTATATATGTGAATACAAAAAACAAAACAAAATATGATGAGAGATAGATGAAATATATACAGACAAGAAGTGATTTGTAGATGAGATTTATTAATACAAAATGAAAAAAAAAACGTGATGATAGATAGTGAGATAAATGGATACAAAGTAAAATATATGTGTATGATAGGTAGATGAGAAATTAATATAAAATAGAATAGAATAAAAGGTAGGAATAGATATATACAAAATAAGAAAAAAATAGTAGAGGAGATTAATACAGAACAAAAAATATTATGTTAGATAGATTATGATGATAATTATGGAAGGTAGATAAGCTGGATACATACAAAACAAAAAATAATTTGTAGGCGAGATAAAATAAAATAATAAATAATTAGTAGAAAGGACTAATACATACAAAACTTAATACAAAATGGTAGCTTAGCAAGACAAACAAATACAAAACAAGGAATTATTTGTAGGTGAGTGTACGTGAGGATTTACTTTACTTACAAGGACTAGACTGAAATGTTTCTTCCTTAACATTTTGTTTAATACCATACAACGTAAATATGCATTTATATCAGCACTTAATGTATTATGTATAGAGGTATATATATTCATTGTAAATTTCAAAGTATTTCCTACTTAATTCTTAGCCTCTATAAACCGTTATGCTTAAATATTCCAAGTAACTGTTTTCTGTCCGTTGCCTCAGGGAACCCCGGGTCTCAAACGGCAGAAACTCATTTTCTTTGTTCTTTAAGTATTACATGTAATATATATATATATATATATATATATATATATATATATATATATATATATATATATATATATATATATATATACATACACACACACACACACACACACACACACACACACACACACACACACACACACACACACACACACACACACACACACACACACACACACACATACACACATACACAACACAAACACACACACACATATACATGTATATGTGTGTGTGTGTGTATGTGTGTGTGTGTGTGTATTGTTTTCTAAGTAAAGTGTTTCAGTTTCAAATTTTCAATCTCTTTTCCTCCGCCAGATCTCCCGACACTGGCAAACGAGTGACCAGCCGCTGGACACGGAGCTGCAAACCGAGGAAAATGAAATAAAAAGGGTGTCAGCTGGTAAGTTAATGGCTAATGAGAAGGAAAATAAGTCACTCTCCTCTTCACAGCCTTCGAGCTTTCTTGTCCGTGAAATAACATCGACATAATTCACATGATTTGACCAGACTAGTGGAACCTCGACTTTTTCATCTCCTTCGTTCATTTACCTAAGTTTGTCCTTAAAAATCACTGTGAATATTGAATCACGTTTTCTAGTAATTTGCTCAAATCCTCGTTTTCTCTTCTCTAACTCCCCTCGAAGTCCCTGGCATTATGGGGCTTTACATTTAAGGGGCTTTTCATTTAAGGAGCGAATACAAGAGAATCTTCACCTCCAACAAATTAAAAATACATGTCCGATAAATTTCACACTTTCACCTCTCAGTAAGTAAGCTCCGCCGCTGTGACAATCCCTTTATATCAATATCATTACCCCCTCCCCCCCTCCTCTTCTTCCCTCTGGTACCCTGCCCGAGCTATTCAAATGACGAGCCTTTTCAGACTTTATTAAACCTTGTCCATACCTTTCTCTTACCCTTACTTCATCTCGCAGGATCAAACACACACGAAGCGACATCGCAAGCATGCATGGAGAGTGTCTTCAAGTTTTTCGAAGAGCGGTACCGGGCAGTTCTTGAGGGTTAAGTGCACTGGCTGGCGAAGTCGGTGGTGATTTGGCTGACGAGATGGCTGACGATGGTGAGGAGGAAGAGGAAGAGGAGGAAGAGGAAGGAGAGGAGGGACAGGGGGGACAGGAGGAAGAGGAGGGAAAGGAGGAAGGGGAGGGAGAGGAGGAAGAATAAGGAGAGGAGGAAGAGGAGGGAAAGGAGGAAGGGGAGGGAGAGGACGAAGAGTAAGGAGAGGAGGAAGAGGAGGGAAAGGAGGAAGGGGAGGAGGAATTTTCTTACTCCTCCTATTTCTTGTTTTTCATCCTTTTTAGTTACTTATTGCACTTCTTATTCTATGTCTCCACTTCTCATTCTGCTTCTTCTTCTTCGGTCTCTTTTCTCTTTCTACTCCTGCTGCCTCTTCCTTTTCTCCTGCTCATTCTTCTTCTTATGTCTCACTTTTCAGTATGCCCTTTCTCCCTTTTTTCTCCTCTTCCTTTTTCTTCTTATCATAATTTTCTACCTCTTCTTCTTCTTCTCCTTCTTTTTAATTTTCTTCAATACGATTTCCACTGTTTATCAAAGGAATTCTAACTTCATTTGTCATTGTAAAATCGCAATATTAATTACTGACATTACGTTTTTTTTTTAATTGATATTATATCAGTTTGTAACAATGTCTTAATTCGGCCATTGTTTGCGCCCAATATGGAGATGGTAAAAAGTTATATTTTGCAAAGCCGATAGTTAACAGTTTTCTATTAAATTGGTCTGTTTCAAACTATGGATATAACTTTTTTTGTGAAGTATTACTGTGTGTATCTTATTTTATTGTCTATTTATCAATGTACTGTGACATTTTCTGCACTGCAGTTTCATTTCATATCCGTGAGTTGATATGAATATACCATAAAGCATGAATAATCTTGCCTGTAATGTATTACGGTTTTCTGTCATTACCTCTGACAAAGGAGCTTGTGTAATAAAAGCTAATTGCCTAATTGTTTCTTAATTTGTCAGCAGGATTGCATAAAAAGTTAATGACGGATTGGTGTGAAATTTAATAGGTAAGTTGCCTGTAACGTAAGGGCCAGTTGACGTGTTTTAGGTGAACTGGATCTGTGTACAAAGTTTGAATAATGTTACTAATGTTGTACAGCACAGAAATTGCGAGCTTTTTTGTGGGTGACATGTCTATTTCGATTTCTTTATGATGATAGGAGTGTGTACTTCCTGTTTCTTTTTAGATTGTGATGCTCTGAAAATGGATGTTTGATTTTGGAATCTCGTCTCGATGCCTTTTGTAACAGATCCTTGCGCCGGATCATGGGGTACAGTTGGCGGGACCATGTGTCCAACCAACAGCTACACCGTGAGACCGGTACAAGACCTGTTACTTGCACAATCCGTGATCGCCAACTCAGGCTATATGGCCACTTGGCTCGATTCCCGCGGGATGATCCTGCCCATCAGGTTGTCTCTGTTCGAGACAACCCTGGGTGGAGGAGGCCTGTGGGACGACCGAGAAGGTCGTGGCTTGGGCAGATCGATCAAACCTGTCGTGAGGAACTAGAGATGGGCCGGGCCCCTGCCTGGCGGCTCGCCATGAGGGACCCTCGCAGGTGGAAGCGAAGGGTGGACGCGGCTATGCGCCCCTACCGGCGTTAGCTCCCCAATGATGATGATGATATACAGGATGTGTGTGTTTGTGCATATATATATATATATATGTATGTATGTATGTATATGTATTTATATATATGTATTTATGTATATGTATATATGTATGTATGTATATGTATTTATGTATATGTATATATATGTGTATGTGTGTGTGTGTGTGTGTGTATTTATGTATGTTTATATATATGTGTGTATATATATTCACACATATATATAATACATATATAAACATACGCAAACAGATATGTGTGTATGTTTGTATTTAAGTATATATATACATATAAACATATGTCTGTGTGTACTTACAAAAGTTCTTATGTCTGTTTATGTCTTTGTCTCAAAGGGGTATGGCAGCAGAGTAAGATCTTGGTGGCACATCACAACCTTAATTTACATAATCCATCAACACAACAGTAACCCAGTTTCGAGGAAAAGTAATAAACACAATACTCTGTCACTGAAATACAAAACTGTTTCATAATTAAAAATATATACTGTAAGGTGTGTGGCCGCTATTACCAGGATCAAGGCCTACGCAACAAGGTCTATAGAGACCATAATCAGGGAGTTGTAGAAGAATAATCGCCCGAATCAACGCGCCTCAGGGAGGTAAGTCCGATTTGCGAAGCTGAGCCTCGCCCGGGCTATGGGGGAGCCCGGCCTGTGCCGACTAATGTCGACTCGCTAACAGTGAGTCAGCAGGTGCTGACTCAGCAGAGCTTAGTCCTTACCCACCGTGGTGCCCAGCCACAGCAGTAACCTCCAGGCGACAATTGCAACTTCTCGCGCCTGGGCGGGGCGCGAACCGCCGACCCCTCGGATGAGAGGCCGACACGTTACCACTGTACTAGCCTGGAGGCTCTCAGGGAGGTCCACCCCAACAGCGCGGAAAGTTACTCGCTTACTGTCCCCGCCGCCCGCTGTCATTCGCTGCCAGCTGGATAGTTACTATACGCGTCTCTAGGTAATGATGTTCAAGAGCGTATCGCTTAAGCTTTAGTATACTGCCTGGCTGAGAATTTGTTATATATATATATATGTGTGTGTGTGTGTGTATATGTGTGTGTGTGTGTGTGTGTGTGTGTGTGTGTGTGTGTGTGTGTGTGTGTGTGTGTGTGTGTGTCTGTGTGTGTGTGTATTTGTTTAATAATCGTATAACTCTATATTTGATGTCGGAAATGACAACTAGCCTTTGTTTAAATGTCACTATATTGTGACTGTTAACCCATTGCCGCCGGGGATGGCATGTACGTACATGCCATGCCCACTGCGAGTCGACTTGTTTTTACACATAGATGGCTACACTTGTACTAAGTATCCAATGAGCCAATTACGAGTACTGCCTGTCTCGCCCGTTCACCCTTTTCATCGATTTACGAAAATATTTAACATTATCCTAATTTGCTGTTAAAAATAACACAGTCTATATTTATAGCACTAGTAAAAATACGTTTTTTTCCCGCCAATTCAAGGGAAGGTGAAATCAAGACTAGCAAAGCCATCTATCGACAGAGATATTTCACAAAAATATAAAAAATGAGTACTGCATTTCCCCCATTTTTTGTTCATTTTCCCCGGCGGCAATGGGTTAACCTATGAAATAGTCTGTGTTATCATCTCTGACTCAAGTAAGTAGAAATAGAGCTTTGATTGGAAACTGGGAGTGAATTGTAACAAACTATATATATATATATATATATATATATATATATATATATATATATATATATGTACATGTATTAAAAATATATGAAATATATATACATATATTATATATATGTATTATATACATAATGATTTAAACAAAAACTAAACCACGTATTATCATCCAACCGACGTCAGATATGGAATTTCCAGCTGAAAATCCATATTTCGTGCAACAGTGCAGGGGAGATTTCCCAAACGACGTACGGCCGCCATTTTGGACTTTTAGTGCTCGCGGAATTCGGCCTCGCTTTCCTCGCTAATTTTCTTTTCGAACCTTCGTGGAAGGCAAACTCACTCTCCACGGTCACGGAACTGCTGAAGTGACCCAACTAACACTAATATATATATATATATATATATATATATATATATATATATATATATATATATATATAAGTATATATATATGTGTGTGTGTGTACATATATATATATATATATATATATATATATATATATATATATATATATATATTTATTCATATATGTATGTATGTGTATATATGTATATGTGTGTCCATATACCCATATATCAGTAGCGATGGATAGCTATAAATATAAACCCAATTATATCGATATATAACATAAATTTTCACTTCCACCATCATCGGACGCATGCCTCGTCCACGTCGCTGAACGGTTATTTAAAACCATATACCACTTCATCCTAAGGTGACTAGCGTGCGCGCCCGAAGCGGTTGTTCGGCCGACGCAAAGCCCTTCTGAAACGAATGCATAGTGAAGGGAGCAAGCCGAGTGAGGGTCGCGGTAGAAAGTCCTGAGTTTCGAATTGCAATGCGGAAGTTAGTGCTCAATCCTGTCTCCAAATAGCATTCTGAAGATCATAGGAAATATCCACGTGAAATCATATATACACCATCGTATGCATAAAGCGTCAAAATGTAAGCAAAAATCCCTGCACACACACACATATATATATAAATTCCGCAAGGTTGCCACCCAGGGATGGAATCGTAAGCACGAAGAGGTAGATTAACGCGACCGGGAAGAATCTCAAACTTATTGAACTGACGCTTTTAAGTTATCTTATCCTTCATCTTGGAAACAAGACAAGAAGGCAGTTAGACGATCCAATTATATAAAACATATAGTTCTGGTAATACATTTATAGAATATTGATACGTAAAAAGGATAATGCGCACACGACACATAGCCGTAACACAAAACTACACCAAGAAGAATCAAACAAAATGCAAAATAACCGCAAAGCAAATACACATACAAAAGAAAAGGGTAACGAACCAAGGTGTGTGTTGGCAGCGAGGGAAAGACCTAATGGATGAACAAGGTGGTTGCGTTGTTCAAGACTGGTTTCATCTTATGCACAAGGATAAATACTGCGGGGGGGGGGGGGGTGAGAGGATACTCGAGATCTGAATTAGAAATCGAGTAAGAATGTCACAGTTGAATGCTCTCTTGTTGCCGAGAAGGATGGTTTGTTCAGCGGGAGAACAGTCCTGAATAACTTTGTGTTCGAAGTTGCGGTGACTAGTTATCGTGAGGTCGATCCCACGTACCTAGCCTGGCAATTAGGACAGGTTGGTGAATACAGTGCATTAGAACACAAGGCAGAGATGCAGTTCAACGGCTGTTTTTATTAACTTAGCAGCAATGTTAGTTTTGCTGAAAACAAAAAGCCAACTTAATCTTGGGGACAATTATTTTGCAGAAGTGGTTGTAATTGTTTCCTCATAATCTATAATGCACATACCTGTGGATATATAGATATATATTTGTTTATCGTTGCGTATCAAGATGCTGGTTCCAAAGTTCCCTCCCCACCTACGCCCTCTCCTTACCGTCCCCTATGCGGCCAAGATGACAGTCGCTGTCTCTTGGACTCCGATGCTGGACGCAAGACCTGAGCACCTGACTGCAGTGCGGTTCTTCGTTAACAGTTTGTGTCATTTCGAGAGCTTGACGAAATCCCGCTTTTCTCTGCTTTTCATTTGTATATATCTGCTTGCAGTTGTTGTACCAGCTGGCACCAGGTGTTCAGGTGTTAATAAATAGATGAATAAAAACTTTCGCGCGGCAGTGAGAGGTGTTTTGGTTTAATATTTTGCGGAAAGGACAACTTGGATCGTCCTTATAATACTAGGTATTTGTAAAATCAAAATGTGAGATAAGTTATTACATAAAGTCGCTACATGTGACCCGTAGAAAAAGTTATTTTGTTATCAGAATTATCACTTAATTTACCTTGTTATTTATTATATACTAAAAATATATACTAATTTCCCTTAAATACAGAAATGTGTATCGACTATGGCTGCTAAGTGAGCTTGTTCCAATTAACTAATATTAATGTTACTATGATTATCAGATATAGAGATTAAAATGGGAGGTAGGATGCATTTAGTGAAGATTTGGGAGTAAGAGGAGGAGCACAGCGTGAAAGGGAAAGGGGGAACAGGGAGAGGGGGAGGTGAAAGGGAAGAGGAGGAGGAAAGAAGGAATTTACACGTGTCCCGGATTTCTACTATTAGCATTATCATTATCATAATAATTACTACTAGTACTAGTAGTAGCAATAATATAACTATTATTGTTATTATTATTATTATTATTATTATTATTATTATTATTAT